GAAGGCGGAAGGGTACGGTTTCGGGTCTACGGTTCGCATATCTTAGAAAATTACAACCCGAGCACAAATCATGAATTAGCCCCCAAACCCTAACCTCTGCAGATTTAGATCTAGGGATCTAGGAATGCGGGGTTCTTGGTCGGCCAGAGCGAACAGCTTTACGTGAGAACGAGTATTAACAAAGGGGGACTTTAGTAGGACGAGGTTGCCCATGATCCCGACATTGAGTCAGAAACCCGACCGTTTTCAAAGTGCCTTCACAGACGTTAATCCCCTAAAGCTTATATCCAAAACACCAAACCCTGCACCCGGTGATATCAAGAACTCGAGTGTGCGCATCCGTGAGAAGTGCGGCAGCCGCAGCAGACGTCGAGGTACCTCCGAAACCCCACTGGAAACCTTTTCAAAAGCACAAGGAGGTGCACCGACGTTAGCAATCTGATTGCACGATAAACCCTAAACCCGGAATCATAAAACATTGAAATCCCAAACAATCTGATCAGGAACCTTGCTATCGTACATAGAGTGGCAAGAGCAGCCAGAAGGATCAGCATGAGGCTGCCTTTGCTGCTGCGTCTCTGTTGATGATGACTATTCTCACTTGCTGCCGCTGCTGTTGCAAGTGCTGCTGACGATGATGGTGGTGACATTGATGAAGGCGGATGATGAAGGTGGTGCTGGTGATGATAACGGCAATATGATTCTGATGATGATGATGGTACTCTTGATGGTGATCTCGATGATCATCATAACGATGGTGTTGGTGGTGACGATGAGGCCGATGACGGTGAGAAGGCCAAGGACGTGCGGTGGTTTACCACGAAAGATGATGCACGTTGATAATGATGAAGGTCATGATCTTTAACGTTAATAAACGGTAAAACATAATGATGAAGATCATACTCAATGGATGGATGACGAGGTCCTCATGCGAGCACTGAAGCGGCTGGAGATTGTGTGGTGGTGCCAGCTGGTAAACACACAGGCAAGCGATTCATTGTTGCATTGCAGCCCAAACAGCCAGCATGTAGACGACAGCCGACATATATGCAAAATCACGCAAGATCATGCATGCAAGCGTGCAAGAGTTCACCCGGACTCACTGCAATGCGACTTTGAACCCTTGAACTGTGAACCCTAAACCTTGACCCCTAAACCCTAATTAAACCCAATAACCTTGAACCCTAAAACCCTAAACCCTAAACCCCTAAGCCCCAACAACCTAAACCCTTAAACCTCAAACCCAAAAATCCTGAACCCCTTAACCCTAAACCTCAAACCCTCAGAGGCCGCGGAGCTTGACCCGACGCAGCGCCCGGAGCCCCAATGCCCAAGCCACCGGAGCGGTCGCGGCTTCGATCTCCGGTTTAGGGTTTAGAGTTTAGGGGTTTAGGGGTTTAGAGTTCAGAGTTTAGGGGTTTGGGGGTTGGGGGTATGGGGGTATGGGGGTTTAGGGGTTTGGGGGTTTTGCGGTTTAGAATTCAGTTTTTAGGGGTCTAGGGCTTTAGGGCTTTAGTTTTGGGGTGTAGTATTTAGGGCTTAGGGGCTTTTGCTCTTAACATTGCTCTTACTTTTGGAGCTATTATTATTTAGGGCTTTAGTTTTGGGGTGTAGTATTTAGGGCTTAGGGGCTTTTGCTCTTAACATTGCTCTTACTTTTGGAGCTATTATTATTGTTGTTGTTGGCGAAATAATATGTGTTCAGTCGGGCGCAGGATGTGTGGAGGTTTTCATGCTGCAGTTTGAGAGGTCTTCTTTGGGTTCGGTTCAGGCATTTGATTTGGCAAGCCGCCTCCCAGCAGGTTTTGCAAGAGTACTGGTCTGTCAACAATCCTTTTCCCCCAAGTTAAGGGTTTCAGCAAGAAACTTTCCACAACAAATCCTCTCGGGCTGTTCAAAAACCGCCTTCCAACAAAGCCTCTAAAGGAATCGTTTTGCAAGAGGCCTCTTCTAGCCATGAGGGCCCTTACAGTAAATCCCTACAGTAACCCGAACCGTACCCCCTGAATTCGGAACGAAAGCATCCCTAAACCCCAAACCTTCTAGTAGCCTTGTAGAACTATAGAACCCTCACGCAAACCTTAAAGGATCCTTTAAAGAAACCCTTTCAAGGCTCTTGAACTCTCGAACTCCAAGCAAGACAAAATCCGAAACTCTGGAAGCTTCCAACCTTCCAACTGTCAAACTTAAGTCTTTCAGGATTTAGGGTCTACAGGAATTAGGGTCCTAGAGATGCGACTTTAGGGCAAGCTTCAGTGAATTGTCTCCAGCTTTGAGTAGCTGAAGCTGAAGCTTTGGAATTTCAGTCTGTCTAACTTTTAAACTCGAGCCCGGAAGCGTCACATCGAGCTGACCCGGGGCCCGTCGCGCGGCCTACACCTTCAAACTGAACTTCTCTAAACCTTCCAGCTCTGTATTCGTTCTCGCCATCACCCTCGAATCATACTTAATTTTCGCGCTTTGCACATACCCTCAAGCTCCGCACTCGTGCAATCCATGCGGGGTGTTCCAACTTTCAGGGGTTCGAGTTCGGGAATACGTGCTCCTGACATCAGTTCGATTGCCCTAAGCCTTAAACTGACTTAAGCCCATAAAGCCCACACGCTCAAGCCTTTTACCAATGAAACACACTGCAGAATTAGAGAAGACAAGGCTTAAATCGAAGGCCGTAAACCCTAAGCTGTTCCTTCACAAAACTTCCCACCCTACGCGCCAGCCCTGCAACATCGATCTCTAAGTGCAACTGAGAGGTGCGTGCTTACAGGAAGCGGCCCGAGCTGCTTGGGCCTCGGCTTTTCTTGCGGTTCTTCTACGGCTTACTGGCTTGTTTACAATGTTTTTGGGGTTTAGGAGCTTAGGGGCAGTCTTTATAGGGGACTAGTTTCATATTACAAAGGTTCTATACCGGCTCCCTCCGGCTTCTTGGGCAGAAGTTTATTTGGGCAACGCCCCCGAGCCCCAAGCGCCAACGCGAAATCCCAAACCAGTGATGGGGTTGAGAGTGGTGTCTTGGGTCTTTCGGATTTCAGATTCCGTGATTAGCGTTAACTTTTTGAGAAACTCTGGGTCCTGATTGGGGATTATCTGGCCATTTCTTAATCAGGTTGTTATATTCGTTTTGACCGCAAACAGCGTTGTGACCATCCTGGAGCGGATTTCTGTGTGTGCTTCGAACCCAGACCGCAAACCCCCTTAAGGTGAAGTCTGCCGGCTTGGGTCGCCAGGCCAGAAGGGGCCCTTTGGCGTTTAGGGTTCAGGGTTCCTCTTCCTCCTCCTCCTACTCCTACCACTGCCATTACCAATACCACTGCCACTACGACGACGACAGCGGCTACGACTACGACGACTCAGTACTGCTGCTACTGCTGCTGCTGCTGCTACTACTGCTACTGCTGCAACTACGACATGACGACGACCACGACCCCGACCACCTGCTCCTGCTCCTGCCTCTGCTCCTGCGCCTGCTGCTGCTGCTGCTGCTCCTGCTGCTGCTGCTGCTGCTGCTGCTGCTGCAGCTCCTGCTGCTGCTGCTGCTCCTGCTACTGCTACTGCTTCTCCTGCTGCTACCGCTGCTACAGCGGTTTGGCTCTTGTTCCAGGGTTTCAAGGTGTCATGATTTCTTGGGTTTAGGGAACAGGGATCGAGGGCTTCCGGCCCTGGGCTTGGGAGTTCGCGTAGGTTAGTGCAGGAGCTGATGGGTTGGGGGTTCTGATCGTTACCTAAATTTCCTGAACCTTGGAAGGATCCGGCTGACAGACCAACCGAAATGTTTCCTACCATGATGCGGATGAAGATGGGCATGTGTCTGTTGGATCCTTCCTTGGGCCCGATGACGGGTGTGTACGCTTCAAGACGGTCGAGTCAAACGCCCGACGCCTCAGAGCAACCCGAGACCCTTCTTGCCTAAGCCACAATCCCTTAAACCTTAAATCCTAAACCCAAGACCCTTCTGGCCGAAATCCTGAACTGCAAAAAAACCTAAACCCAAGACCCTTCTTCCTCATATTCCGAGAACACAAGACCCATAGAGACTCTTCTCGGCGCTTTTGAACCATTCGCTGTCAGGAGCCTCTGTAGTAGAACCCCGTATAAGGGGTTTAGGGCTAAGGGGTTTGGGGTTTATATAGGTTCTACCTTAACCTAGCAAGACCTACTTTTTTGTAGGGCCCCTATAAATTCCACATTAAGGTTTATAATAAGAACCTACAACAAAGTAGGGTTTGGTAGGTTAAGGTAAGGCCCTATTATCACCCTACAAAAAGCCAGGCTTTGCAAAATTCTCCGACGGCGGTCTATGCAAGGTGCTCAGTCCTTGCGCAGGCGGCAGGGCGTGCTAGAGACGACGGATTGGGGCTTTACAAGAGTTCTGTATGAACATTCTGAAGCAGGGGTCTTAGGACTTAAGAAGGGGTCTATAAGGGTTACTATAAGGGATCTATAAGGGTACTAGAATATGGGGGCCTGAGTAATTACCTATACTATGTTGGGGGTTGCTTATTACTTATAGTATAATGGGGCCCCAAAACCCTATTCTAAGTATTCAAGCCCCTATATTGAGCAAGGTGTCAGGGTTTGGGATCTCGTGTTCGGGTTTGAGGGCTTAGGGTTTAGGGGTTCAGGATTTCCGGCTTCGATCCTAGACGCTGGGTACAAGGCCTACCAAACCCTACTGTTTTGTAGGGACTTTGTAAGTTGTATTTCAGCGTGTATCATCGAACCTGGTAGTTTCAGGTGAATAGCGCCTAACGCCTTCAAGACCTTGGCATGAAAGATGAGCCCTAAAGGCCTGCTGCTCAGATACCAAGACCCGGAACAAGAGGAAGTGACCTGAAGCTTGGTTCTTGCTAAGAACGTCAGTTTGAGTTACCATAGAACTCTATTGATCCATCATATTCCATAGATTCCTCTTATGGTAACTTAAATTCAAGTCCTTAACAAGAGCCCTGGAAGTGTCCCGAACCGAAAGAAGCATCTGTAGCCCGATGTCTGAGGTGGGCAGCATGAATTTCGACTATTCCATGACAGCTTGGGGCCCAGCAACCAGCGCTTGTGGAGTCATCCACTCCCTTACTGTTTCGGTTTAGGATTTTAGTTTAGGGTGGGGTTTCTGCTGTCTCCTGATTACGCGCTCATTCGTTGAGCTCTTCATAGGTTTTCGGTCCTAGTCGCTGTTCAGTTTTGGCTCCTTACGTTTCCTTTTCAACTGCCTCAGTTGCTGTTGGGTTAACCCGCAAACTCTAGGCTTTAAACCCCAAAACCCTGGCATAGCAAGCCTCTGAGCCCAAAGCCCCAAATCTTGAGCCCAAGCAGAACCCAAATAGGCCCTGAACCCTAAACTCCTCAGCCCTGACCCTAAACCCTAGACTCCTAAGCACACTGCTGCACCCTTCACGAACCCCGAGCACCCTAAAACTTCAGGGAACCGTCCTGGTTCCTAAGGCTTCCTTTACCGCTTCCTTTAAGGGTTCCTTTACCGCTTCCTTCGCGGGTTCCTTTACGGGTTCCTTTACGGGTTCCTTTAAGGGTTCCTTTAAGGGTTTATCCGGGATTTACGGGTTTTAAACAGGGTTTGGGGTTTAGGACTTGGGGTTCAGTTTGCAAGTTTTCGGGTCTATACAAGCTTCCTGAGCCCGGAATAAAAGAGCCGCCTCGCCGCATCAGTCTCTCAGCGCCTCTGCCCCAGGGGTAGATATAAGTTGTCATAAGTAGGGTAACTATACTGATGACCCATATTAAGGGACTTATAAGCCCACTTATAACTAACTACCCCTGAACCTCCAAGTACCCTAAACCATATAACTTTCTAGAATCCCTATAGATCCGTTTAAAAGGACCCTTAAAGGAACCCTTATAACTACCCATGACCCTCCAAGTAGAAGCCCGAAAAAGCGCCACCAGCACCCTAGGAGCTGCCAGGGGTCCAAAACCCCTTCAAACCCTCAGCCGCAACAGAAGGGGGGTTTACGGTCTAATTAAGCGTTTAGGGTTTAAGGGCTGAAGGGCCGAAGGGTTTAGGGTTGGGTAGGGGGAAGGGTTAAGGCTTGAGGCATTAGGGATTATAAGGTTGAGGGAGACCCTCAGCTACTCGAGGATCTGAAATCATGGGTTAGTGTAATCGGAAGAGCTGGGGTCTAAGATGCGACGGTTGGCATATTAGACCCTCAGTCGGCTTGGCATGTTAGGCCCTTCCTTGTTCGCTTGCTGGAGGTATGCCGCTCAAGTCTGCTGTTGATTTGAATGCCTATGTCATGAATATGTCTATGCGACAGGAAGCAGGTCCTTCTCACAGCAGTATAGATCTGCCGCAGAAGTGCAGTTACAAGCGGTGCAAGAGCAGGTGTGACAAGTTGTTCGCAATGTTCACGAAGGATGCTTCCGGCTGAATTGCTCGTTTTCACTCTAATACGGACAATTCGGCCGGGTGCCTGCTACCTATTCCCCCCCCTGTCAAAGCAGGAGCTGCAGGGAAACCTGCGGGTGCGCCCCCAATTCCCCCCCGGGCCTCGATAGTCAGTGCTTTCCCACAGCCCTCCCGGATCGAGCTTCCCGTTGGGGAGGCCCAAGGTCTAATATGCCACCCTGGTTTGTTATGTGGTACACCAACTTTGCAATTAGACCCTGGATCTTGGGTCTAATATGCAAGTTGGTGTACAGACCCTACAGTAGCTGACCCTATGTTTAGGGTTTAGCACGCCCTGAATCCAAAGCCGATTCCAACCGGCAAGGCCGCTGGTGTTCGCGATCGCCCGCTTCCCGGGCGATTCAGCTGGTACCAAGATCTTCCTTTATGGCCAGGAGTATTTCCCCAGGCAATATTCTATTTTTTCACACTATCAGAGGGTTCATCGAATCATGTTCAGGTTCCTGTTCGAATAGTAGGGTAATCCCCTGATCAAGGAAGATCTGGGTCCGGGACCTTTCAGACCTGTAGCACACCCGAAATGCTAGGCGCTATACCTTAGACCTGAAGCCCTATGCCCCAAAGCCTGGGTTCGCGTGTCATGCTAAGGGACCCGCATGATGCGGCTAAGCGTTATGTCTGGTTCATAAGGTTTTCGATTATTCCTGGTATATGTCTTCTGACACACAAATCATCTGAACACCTAAACCCTTAACCCCCTAAATCCGCAAGCCCCTAAACCGTAAACCCACAAACCTTTGCACCCCTAAACCCCAAACCCTAAGCCCGAGAGCCCAAAGTTGCAACCTAGGTTGGCCCCGAAGCCTACGTTATCCTCCCTCTTCGCCAGAAAAACCCCGAGTCTTAGCTCCGATCAGCTCTAGACGCAGTTCGGGGTTTCCGAAAATTAGGGGTACCTTATTTTGGAGTCCTTATAATAAGGATCCTACTATTCAGGGTACTGTATTAGGGTCCCCTATTTTCTGAGGCACAAATCTTGCAATGTCCATAATGCGGAACATATCATGTCCGTCAAAGTTTAGGGCATTTGAGGCTCAGACGTGATTTCCCTTTCATCTTCTGTTTGATGCAGTGGTTTTGTCCAGCCGCAGAAGGGCGGACTTTGCCCTTCAGCGCAGACCGACAGCCCAAAACACCGAACCCTGATGCTTCTAAGCCCTAAACCCCCTTCACTTACCGTTAACCTTGGGTGGCAAACCCTAAATCTTTAACGTCCGAAACCCTAACACTTGAAGCTCTCAGCTGAAAGGCTCAAAAGCTCAGCTCAGGTGGCAACATGCCGTGGTCGGCCAGCGGCATCTCGCAAGCTTTGGGTTTGCCTGGGCCCCCGGAAGAAGCACCCAGAGAGCCCGAGCACTCCTTCTTTCGAGGACTACCCAAAATCACTTCACAATTTTAAGCGTAGAGACCTGATGAAAAGGTCTTTGTGAACATAGATATAGCATTGAGAGTCTATAGCATTGAGACTTCAGACCAGGTCAGCATTAGGGAGTGGGGTTTAGGGGACTAAACATGAGGGTTCGTGGCCTAAGCTTTCCACAACTAGGTAGCCAGTCACCCAATAGTATCCTTATGCCCTTTCTGCGGGACCCCCCTACCAACCGAGACTGACGAGTAGGCGAGTACCCTTGATTTTCATGATTTGTTGCGTGCTTTGAGGACCCGACACCTTCAAAGCCTCAGAGTCGTGATACGGGGGTGGGAGTGTACAGGCATATATACACCATTGTCCTGTCTGTGTATATGATACGTAAAAAGGTAGTTGTATGTTTGCATTTATGTGTATATGTAGATATGTAGACATGGAAATATGCAGATATGTAGGTATGTGTACATGTACACGTATATGTGTACGTATCTGTCTATGTCTATGTCTCTACATATGTCTCTACATATGTATATGCATATGTATATGTATATGTATATGTATATGTATATGTTTGAGCATTTGTATGTGTATGCGCATGTGTATGTGCATATGTATACTTATATGATGTATGTATATATATATATATACACACCAGTATGTATATGTCTATGAAATGTATTGCCATGTGTATACATATATGTCTATGTACATGTGTTCACATCTCCATATTTCTGTTTCTATTGAGATCTATTTGGTTGGTTTTACTTTTAACATGTGTATTTATGTTTACATACACCTTTTTGATATAGTGCTTTATGGGACCAAGGGCCTTCGAGAGCGAGTTGTGCCGCGCCTCCGAACATACAGCGAAACCCTTTGCACAAGGGTTCACGCTTCAGGGTTCTTTATTGTCTTGGGTTCTTTAGAGGGTTACTGGACGGGTTCTGTAATTTTATATGGTCGATAAAGGACTCGCATTATTTCTTAGGTTTTCTTGTTTTAGTTATAGTATAATGTACCCCTGCTCTACTTATTCAGGCCTCCATGTTTCCGTGCATCCTCGTGGCCGAACCTAAGCCCATCTACAGGCCATAGGCAGAACCCAACCCTAAGGAGAAGTGACGGGGGCGGCTGAAGACATCGCCAAGCATAGTGGCATAGTCAATGTGTTGCACAGCACGAAGCGCTCTCATTAGTAGAAAATGCATCGAACATACAACATTCTAAGTGTGTCTTCTTGGGGTTGGGCACGTCCGAAGACGACTGCGGACTCACAAAGCATGCTTTCGCCCCCTAAACCCTAAACCCTAAACCCTAAACCCCATTCCTACACCCTTAGAAGCCCTTGCTTCTCCCAGGCGTGGGGCCGCCGTGTTCCTGGACACCGGCCGGGCCCCCGAGTTGTGGAGTTGGGATCCGCTCAACCTTCTAAGCTTCAGTCTTGATCACTTTTGTTTGTAAAAGTGTGTGCAAGATAATGCAAGGTAGTGTATGGTACGGTTAATGTGGCTGAGTAATATGAGGAGTGCAAGGTAGCAAATCAAGGTAGCATAGGGTAGTGTGTGTGCAACTTGTTATGTACATATGCATGTACGTATGTATGTATGTATGTGTATGTATGTGCATGAGTGCATGCATGTAGGTATAATTGTGTGTCTGTATATTGTATGTGTATCTGTGTATGTTCCTTGATTTGTTCACATTGTAGCCATGTTTGCTTTATTGCTGTTATTGTTTCATTTTCTGGTTTTCATAGCTCGTGTTTGTTGTTGTTCTCTAGTCTCTAAACATGTGAATAGGGTTAGGGGTTTAGGCCATGGGCGTTGGCCTTAAGGGGTCCTTTGCCGGGGTGTGTAGACCGAGGGCGTTTGGGGATCCATGTCATGCGAAAATCATCGTCACCGTCACCATCATCATCCCAACCTGATACCAGAAAGAGCCCCGCGCTTGCAGAGTCATGCCCCGGTTCACAGGTGGGGGCTTCTGATGAAATCAGGTGTACTCGGTGGGGGTCTAACCAAATCTCTCCGACAGTACCCTTCATAAATTACCATAGTGCGGAAACTGGTAACCTACACCAAGTTCCCCAACAATAACTCGGACTACCCCTGGACCTTCGGCAACCAAGCTCTTGATTCACAACATCGTTCCTAGGCGGCTCTTGAGCGCAGTGTCTTGTGTTGGTTCTGTTTCTTGTTGACAGAGGACCGACCTATACTTTTTGTCGTTCTGCCACAACATACCCCAACAACCTTGTTCTATCTATCTCGTACAGCCTCTTCATAGCAGTAGATCTCAGAGCAATGAGGACAGAACTTTGCAGTTTTGGAAGTGTCTCGTAGAGGCGTAGAGGAGTAGGAAATCGGGTGTAGGGTGCGGGGTGCAGAAAGCCAGCATTCCGAACATCATAGAAACCTTGCCAACAAGAGCCCGTCTCGACATCTTTCTGAAAACACTTGTTACATAAACCCTTAGCACCACCCCAAAAGAACCAAATTAGCAGCCGTCTGAAAACCCCAAACTGTTATTAAACAGCCCTTCTGAAACTATAGAACTTTTAAAGGCCTCAAAGGAACACTCAAAGCAAACCTTATAAGAACCCTTATATAGAACTTAAGGGGAACCCTAATATATAACCTTGAGCCCTTTAAAGGAAGCCGCCTTCTTAAAGCCAGGTTGCTCCTCCTCCCTCGTGGCCGCAGACCTGGCGGCCTCGGCTGTGGGACGTCGCCGGGCGGCGCTGGCGCTGGCGCTGGGCCTGGGGCCTCTGACGAATGGGGGCGGTCTTATGGGGGTACCTACACCCTAAACCCACCCTAAACCCTAAACACCCCCAACCCTAAATCTTAATGGGGGAGTACTTGGAGGTTCATAGGTGCTTATATGTGGGGCTAGAAGTTGCCGAATATGGGTTATAGTTATAGTATAGTTCCCCTACTTAAGACTCCACGTATAACTACCCATGAACCTCCAAGTAATGTAAGGGCAGGGTTCCTTTAAAGGGGTACTATAAGGGATGCAAGAAGGGTACTATAAGGGGGTAATGTAACGGCCTTGAATATTTTCCCTTGTTACAGCTCTAGTACAATATACCCCCAAAGCCTATTCAGCCTTATTCTAATTATTGAGGCCCCTCAGCGGAGCGCTTTGGAGCGCCGGGCGTAGGGCGTGGAGGGGTAGCGCGCGCGTGTGAGCACCTGCCTCGCTTCGGGGCTTTTGCGCCGCAACCCACATTTTGACATTATTACTGTAAGGCCCCTACATTAGGGTTTAGGTTGAGGGGTTGAGGGATGTTTAGGGTTTGGGGTGGGTTTAATTTAGGCTTCAGGGCTTAGGGTTTTGAACCTCAGGAGGTCGGCTTTTGCGCTTTTGGGTTAAGGGGTTTAGGGCCAAGGGTTTAGGGTCTGGGTTTTGTGGAGGAAGTTAGACGAGGGTTTGGTAAGGGGCTTCTGAGAGGAGGTTTTACGAGGGCTTCATTGCAGTTCCAGTACAATCTTCCATAACAGGGGCTTGATGTGTGTCTGTGGTGATAAAAACAGGAGTTATAAGGGCGGCGTTTAAATTCGTGCTTAGGGGATGCAGGGGATTTAGAGTTCGAGACCGGGATTCATATCATGTTAGGGGATTCGGTTGTTCACTGGTTTGGGATGTTTTTTGGTGGAGATTTTGGGTCTAGAGTTCGGTCTTTTTGCCGGCTTTGCAGCGTGGGCAGTGCGGGAACATGGCTGCGAGTTCAGACAGGCATGTTCTGAAGAAGGGACGAAAACCAGGATTTTGTAAAGGGCCTTCAAAAACAGTTCAGGTTTGGGTGTAGGCATGTCCGGCTTTTTGGGCACGGTTTGGTGTTTAGGTATGGTCCGAGAGTCGTATTTCTAGTACAGACCTGCAAATCTAGCTAGCGTAAGGGGGCGAAGGAACAGGAGGAACAGGAGGAGGAGGAGGAGGAGGAGGAGGAGGAGCCCAACAGCAGCAAACAAGAGCAGGAGGAGCTGCGGCTTTTTTCTGCGAGATGCTTCTACAGTTCTTGCGCAACGTCTTACGTCCTACTACAACTACAGCGTAGTCCCCGCAATCATACACCTCTTGTTGCATGTATGGGCCTGAGGCATCCTTATTATCCTACGGGATGCCTTCAGGGACTTACCTCACCCCAAACCCTGAACTCTAAATACCTAGACCCTAAGCTTTGGTGTGTTGAGGGTATATAAGGGTTTTCGGGCTGGGGCGGGTCGCCGGTAAACTCAGCTCGTGTAGAGGAGTATCATCTGAAGTTACCACAATATGGCGATGTATTACACGGCATGCTTTCCTGATGGACTTTTAGCAACTTTAGCTCATAAACAACAAAAGCACAGTTTTCGGTTTTCCCTAGACCCTAAGTGGGTGGTTCGCAGGGCCCGGCCCATCGGGCTGGGGCGTTGCACGGGCTTAAGGCCGTTGAGGGGTTGGGATTTATAGGGCTTGGGGGTATGGGGTCAAGGGTTTTGGGCCTTTTGGGTATGAAGCACTGGGTTAGGGACTGTGGGCTCAGGGTTTAAGGTTTAGAGATTCTATATCATTCCTCTTGCATCAACGCCAGCCTACGAGCACCTCAGAAAAAACCTCGCTGACTACACACCGCCTGACAACGCCCGGAAAACATCAGGCACACAGATGGCCAGCATGAGTGGTTTCTGGTGAGATGCAGGGCCTATCCCCTGAGCCCAAGCACTTCACTCTAAGCCCGAAGGCTAAAGCGCATACCCCAAAGACCTAAGCCTGACGTGTAGCCCTGGAGCCTGAACAGGAACCCCTTTAAACTGGAAGATTAGGGACCGGAACCCGCCCAAACACTAAACCCTAAACCCCTTAAACTCTAAAGTTTAGAAACGGGAACCCAAACCCTAAAACCTAAAACCCTTAAGCTCTAAAGTTTAGGAACAGGAGCCCGACAAGCGGCAACCAAGGCGTGAACTACATGCTAAGCCCGCTGATGTTTTTTGCCCGCTGCTCGATCAGCCTGCCGGGGGGCCTGTACTGGGCTTTCGCTTGTTATGGGGCGTAGGGGTTGAAGCTTTAGGGTTCGGGACTTGGGGGTTTATGGCTTTCGGGTTTGGGAGTTCGGGGTTAGGGGTTTAGGGGCTGAGCGGTGCGTTGGTTTAGGGTTTCAGGCTTAGGGCTCGGATTCAAGATCTACGGACCCTGGGTTAGCATAGCTATCTGAACCCTGACAGATCCCATAAGTTGGTGCTTGTAGGTGTAAAGATGCCAAAGTGCGTCAGGGCAGCAGTGAAACCGCGCTCGTCCCACACCTGTGCGGAAACGGTAAGATGAACTCGAAGAGTGGCTGGGGAACCACCGTCATCAACAGCAGAGACGTCAAACTCAGAATGCTCCGCGTCACGCAAAGAGGTGGTCTCAGCGCTCGTCTTCTTAGGGACTTCGTACTTGGGTTTTGGAGCAGGACCCAAGCAATGCTCACGCATAAGAGGTTTGCACTTGGTACGCTTCATATTAAGACGGTCTTTCCACTTCCAGGTGGCACCACAACGCTGGCAGCATCTTATACTCTCATCTATTGCACCCACGGTCTTCCAAATTCTGCTTGTTCCACCAGAGAACATGACCCCCCTTGTTATACTTCTGTCGTAGCTCTTTTCTCAAAGTCTCAATACGCTCTGCACTGTGTGAAATGCCCTCCTCAGACAGCCATTGATCTTCAGGAAGATCCTTCTGGTCGCAAACCCTATATATTCGTAATCTTCAACTCCACGTGCTTCGGTCTAGCAGCGAAACGGCCGCACTTCCTGCACCACACACCTTCCGCATAAACACGAGCTTCCAAAACATGCCCATTCTCCATGAACGCCGCCCCCCTCATTCACCACTTTGGCATCATAAACAGAACGCGTGCGATCTTGATAGTGCAACTGCTTGTCATGGAATTTCTCAATGTTCATCTGCCAAATCCCAACAAGCATACTGTGCAAAGCCATGACCGCATCATGCGACAAACGCCAACGCAACGGTATAATCCCGGCATGAAGAGACAGTAAGCCTTAGTCAAATCTCCACATCCCAAGCGCCCAATTGGCCTAATTATCCAAAGCCTTTTCTTACCTACACCAAGCCCAAGACCCAGAAACACCCCAGGAGGATGCGAAGCCGCAAAGGCCTGCGCATCATGCAAACTGCCCCAATATGAAACATCTGCAGCCCTAAACCCTCAACCCAAAGACCTTTGGAATTTTTGGAGGAGGAGGAGTGTTTAAATACTTACCAGTACTATTATGGTGGTTCCTTATGAAAGAAAGCTATACGATAACGAGCCCCAAACCCTATTCTAACCATGTAAGCCCTAAACCCTACACCCTAAACCCTACACCTTATTTCTTATTCCAAAAATTAAGACAAGTCTCCCGTAGCAGGCTTTCCCGCACCGGCCGCTCGGCCCCTTTCGGCACCTCGGCGGATGGCTACCTCGTCGGCGAAGGCGCCTACGAAATCCTTAAGGACATGGGCTCTCTGCTAAATCTTTATGAGTACATGGTGCAAGTAAATCCGCAAGAAGCTTGGGCTTCCCATTAAAATCCGTATAAGGCGAGAGCAAAAGTGTTTTAGGGTTCGTGGAGGGTTCAGGGTAAATCCTTCAGGCAAGTGTTCGTGGTCAGTGTGTCATCAGGGCCTTACAAGGGCTCCATATGAATTCTTGAGTAAGTGTTTACGAGTATTAGGGTTTAGGTTCAGGGGTTTAGGGTTGAGGGTTTTGGGTCTATACTGTTTAGGGTTTAGGTTCCCAAAGGGTTCTACCAGGTTCAGGCAGCAGGGTTTTGTAAGGAGTTGCATCAGGCGGGTAGGGGGTTCTCCGGTGCGTTTAAGTTGAAGCTCGAGGCTTAGGGGTTTCCGAGGTTTAGGGTTGGAATATGGGAGCTTCCGAAACGTAGGGGTACCTTATTTAGGGGCCCTTATAATAAGGATCTTACTATTGAGGGCACCATATTAGGGTCCCCTATTTTGGGAAACTCCCATATAGAGAGCTTTTTGCAAGAAATATCCCTACATGGTCCCTAAACAACGAAAAAGTCATTTGAGGGTTTTGTGCTTCGGGTGAGGGTTAAGGGTTAAGTGTATTCCCTGAGGTCTAAGCCCTAGTATGATAAATGCACCACTCAGGACTTTCCACTTGTTCGTCAAGGTGCTGTCAATTTAGAGGTGAAACAGGAGGTAAAGGATTTCCACTAACAGTATCCCCGGCATGACAGCTCCCAAGATAAACACACGCCAATATTTACAAGGAGGCTTTGTCAAGAAGCATATAAACCATACCTCATACCTACGAGTAGCTAGATCATGTCACATACTCGACATTACGAAGTAGCACGACATACTGCTTTTGAAGGGAGCCCTCTCCAACTAATGTAGGGGCTCCAATAATTAGAATTGGGTTTGGAGGTAGATTGTGCAAAATTCGAGTAAGGAAACCCCAAAACCCTATTCTAATTATTTAGGATTATTAAGGGCTCTCCAGTTTAAGCTCTTGTCCCTTGATCAAGAGGCAGCTTTCCGGAAGCCCCACAACTGGCTACCACCCTTCGTGCAACTACTATAGCGGCCTAAATCATTGGGTTGCACTTATAACGAACCCCAAAACCATGAATTAAGCCCTCTCCTCAGGTTGCGGGGCGGTGGCGCCCGGGCTGCGCCATAAGACATCCGGGTGTTTCCATCATCTTTCCCTAACCCAGGACCCAGGCCACTGTGAATCTAGAAAGTAGTAGAACCGCCCACACCCCAAGGTTTCCAGGTATTGTACATGGCTTCTAAGCCCTACACCCTAAACTAGATCCTGGAACCTAAGCCAACCCTGAGATGTACCCAATACTTTAAGACTTTTCAGAGGTTTGACTTGGGTATCCCTTGGGGGCTCGGGGAAGGAGGAGGAAAGCCCGCGGCTGTCGGGGACAAAGCCGGGGCTTCAGGAGTTGTAGAGTAGGTAACCTTAAACTCTTGTGCCTGTCTGGTTAAGGGTATATCATCCAGAAAGTTATCTTGAATTCCCCTACCGCTAACCCCTCGGATGCTTTCATATTGCATAAAGCTGCCGAGAAAGGGTGGGGGTAGCTAAGACAACACGTGTGCCAAATAGAGCTTAAAGGTCCTTGAAACACCCCCAAACCCCAACACACAATCCCAACAGCCCTGAAAAACCAGACCACTGCAGCTTAACACGCAAAGCCCCAAGAACTCCTCATCTGGGACCCTCCTCTAACAGCCTTGTGCAGAGTCGCTTGCAACAGGTCATCCTTCACGAAAACCGTGTTGACGCAGGTACCGGGTCCCTAAATTACAGCTACCGATTTAGGGCATAAGGGCTTAAGGAGTTTTAGGGATGAGGGTTTAGCGTTCAAGGTTGAGTGTTAAGGGACCGGACCCGAAGCTCCAAGCTCCAAATCAGAAGCCTAAACTCATTTCATGGAGTTTCCAGTTACCCGGAGCCTGGGTTCAGGGTTTAGGCTATTTCCTGGAGCAGCCCTCAAGCCCGCAAACACCCTTTAGAACCCTGGATTGGTGGTACATGTTAGGTTCAGTCCCTTGGCACGTTCATTGAAACCGCACAACGCCCCTGCACAAAGCACCTATACAGCCGAATGAAGTTAATCTTCATGACAAGGTCGAGCATCTCTAAACCCGAAACCCCTATACCCTAAACCCATCTAGACCCTAAGCCCTACCGGAATAAGGACTCAGTCCAGCATGCAGTGAGGTTCTGGCTCGGGGTCAGTTTGGCTTCGCACGATGGCGAGCGAGTCAGGTGCCTGTGGTTGAGCGTTCTATTGGGGTATTATAGGAGACTTTAGCTTTATTGGGTTTGGTTGTAGGGTTTGGGGGTTTGTAGTTCTCATGGGAGGGCACGTTTAGGGTACAGGTTCAGGATTACCCCCAGCATTATTCCCTAAGCCTTGAATCCCGCTTCTAAACCCTAAATCCTTAACCCGATGCCTCAAATCCGAAATCGGAAGCCTTGTCGGGGGCCGATGTAGATTTCTACATCCTGCATCCCAGGAGCGCTGAAGAATCAGCCCGACACCCTAAGCCCCAAGCTGCAAATCCTGCATCTGAGGCTGTACGAACATCATAATGGAGAGACCCAAGCACCCTGCAGCCCTTGAGCGAAATCCTATAAGTCCCGAAAGTAAAAGGACTGCGACCCTGAGCCCCAAGAACAATGTTTCAAGGCCTAAAGTGCTAGTGGTAACATAAATCGGTAATGAGAAGACAGATCATGGTAAGAAGAAGGCGACAAATCAATAAAACTATTCATCATGCTAGCCATAAAGCTATTCATCACCACAATGGAAGTGCACAGCAGAAAGATGGCAACACATAAGAACTACTGTAATAGCAATCATCATGACTAATCCACCTCCCCTAAGCCCTGAATCCCATTTCCGAAGCCTGAACCCTCAACCATAAGTCCTAAACCGTACATATATTGTTTATATGTGTACACATGAAACAAAATTTACCATGTGTACATACATATATATATATATATATGTGCATATCTATATTCATGGTGTATATTTATTTGCTGTAAGTATATATCATACAACACAACATAGTACATTTTGAACCAATATAATATCATCAAATATAACGTAGCACACTGACATAGCATAGTGCAGTATAATCAAAACATACCATTGATATAATATACTGCAATTTACCTTACCCCAGCAATATAATATAACATACCATTGATATAATATACTACAATATACCTTAGCCCAACTTTCAAAAACCTTACCCCAAATTCAAAAACCAAACAGCAGGTCATGGAGGACGGACGCCCTGCCCTCAGCAGCCGACTTTCGGGCCCTTCTCCCATCGGTTGGGAGGGCTTTCGTCGAGGCCTTCTAGATGTTGCGGGCCAAGGTTTTTGGAAGTTTAGGGCTTAGGGCCAGGGGTTTAGATGAGGGTTTGCTTTGTCATAGTTGGGTGACATTTGACATTTTTATGGGTACTAAAACCCGGTAAGGAATAAACATGTACATCTTTAACCCTGTCCCAACAATGAACTAGTTTAGGGCCTGGACCCTAAACCCTAAACCCTAATCCTGGGGATCTAGGGTTGGGGTTTTCGTGGCTTTTGGGGTTTGACTGGGCAGGTTTTTTGAGGCGGTTGGGGCTCGGCGCTGTTTCGGCTGGAGGTTCGCGTAAACTCTGCGGATTCGAGACTTTGCTCTGCATGCTTATCTCCTGCCAAATGGCTGCCGCTATACTCGAAAAGCCATAAAGCCTTGCATCATCCTGAATCCCAAAGCCCAGAACCATGAAATCCGAAAGCCCCAGAACTGGGTGGTTGTCAAAATTATGGTCCCTTCTTGGGTCCCTAGTATAATACGGCACCTATGATTTAGGGTGCCCAAAAAGGGACCCTAATTTTGACAACTACTCAACTGCCTAAACCCTTACGGTAGGAGAAGGTCCCTAGAACTGCCAGTCGCTTGGATTCAGCATTTCTGTAGCTTAGTACGGTGTCCAACCAGGATACTATAGGTGCCGAAATAATTACCAATACTATCTTGGTTCCTTATAATAGGTACAGTATAATGGCACCAAGCGCCTATTCTGACTATTAAGGCCCCTATATTTCTTAGACTTCATCTGTTGCGACACCCCTGAGTTTGCTTTCAAGCAGCCGGGTTCACGATACGGCATGATCATGGCTCTGTAACCTCGCAAACAAAGACCTTCGGTAGGAATCTCCTTGTAAGCTTGGCGTAGAAAAATGCAGGGAGCAGAGGACGTAATGTAGGGGCCTTGATTTATGTTTGCCCATCCTACATTTTTTTGGGGGGGGTTCCGTTTTTGCTATGGTGATAGTATACTGTAATGGGCCCCCAACCCTCTTCTAATGATTGAGGCCCATCGAAGGGCTCTGTTCTCCGGGAGCCACGCAAGGAGCCCCGATCTGCAAGCCAAGACCCCAAAAGCGCTCAAGAGCTGAAGAAACCCCGAAATTCCCTAAACTCCCTAAATTCCCTAAACTCCCAAAATTCCCTAAACTCCCTAAATTCCCTAAACTCCCAAAATTCCCTAAACTCCCTAAATTCCCTAAACTCCCTAAACACAAGAACCCTGAAGCCCCCAAGACCCAAAAGCCCTAAGACCGTCAAGCCTCTGGATAGAGCTGTCGGGCCTCGAAGCCGCAAATCTGATGGCCGAAGTCCGCGATGAGGCTAGGTAGGCCTTTGGGATATTTTCTATTTTTCCTTATTGGGCTTAGTCGGACCCTAAACCCTAAACCCTAAGCCCTGAATATTTTTCAGAGGCCTTCAAAGGGCCAACCTAGGAGGGCTGTGAGGCCGCGGAGGTCGCGGAGGCCTCGGCTCTTCCTTCCAAGAGGCCGAGATGCGAGCCTCGGGAAGGCGGGAGCTGCTGGGTTTAGAGGGGTTTAGGGGTTTAGGGGGGTTTAGGGGTTTAGGGGGGTTTAGGGGGGTTTAGGGTTTAGGGGGGTTTAGGGGGGTTTAGGGGTTTAGGGGTTTAGGGGTTTAGGGGTTTAGGGGGGTTTAGGGTTTTTAGGGGTTTAGGGTTTAGGGTTTAGGGGGTTTAGGGGGGTTTAGGGGTTTAGGGGTTTAGGGGTTTAGGGGGGTTTAGGGTTTAGGGGTTTAGGGGTTTAGGGGTTTAGGGGGGTTTAGGGGGGTTTAGGGGGGTTTAGGGGTTTAGGGTTTAGGGGGGTTTAGGGTTTAGGGGGGTTTAGGGTTTAGGGGTTTAGGGGTTTAGGGTTTAGGGGGGTTTAGGGTTTAGGGGCTAAGGGGTTTAGGGTTTAGGGGTTTGGGGTGCAGGGTCTAGAGCTCCCCCAAAACTTCAAGCGTCATCAAAAGGATATCTCCTTGAGGTAAAAAACGGTTCACTAGAATGGCTGCTACAAGGAGTGCTGTGAGAGTCATCATACGGGTTCCTATAAGTGTTGCTATACTGTATATGGGATACGAAAGGGCTGGTTAGGTTTACCGCAAGGGCTCCTATACAGGTTCCTTTCAGGGCCATCAAAAGGTTCCCTTAGGGGTAACTACCATAAGGTTGCCCGTAAGTTAGATGCGTTACTACCCAGGCTATGATAAGGTTTGCTGTAGGGATTCAGGCTCATCAGGAGCATGTAAAATCAGTTTCCATTAAGCCGTCTACAAGTGAACGCTCTTAGTCTCGCAAGAGCCTAAGGTGAAGAGGAGCCAGCGGAGGAGGAGCAGGAGGCGGAGCTGTCCGCCGCGGAGTATCTGAGGACGCCGCACTGCAGTTGACGTTCATAGACTTGAAAGTTTTGTCTCAGGGTTTTATGTCATCTTTATTGTCTCCCGCTTTTTTCGGGTCTACAGGTTTACCATAAGCCCCTGAAGAGAACATGTTGGCCCATGAGCTCCGCATGTCAGAGGATGCTGGTAGCAGCGGGTGTGGCTGAAACCGAGCTGGTGAACCTCGAGACGCCTGCATCTGGGTTCGGTATACCATAAGGGCCTTTTTTGTAACCTACACTACTTTGGGGTCCCTTGATTATTTATTATCATTCTAGTATAATGGGGCCCCAAAACCTTATTCTAATGATTGAGGCCCCTATATGCAGGGGCCTAGTAGCTTGAGTTACTATTGTAAGGATGCCGACAAGCGCTGAGGCATCCGTGCCTTCGGGCACCGAGACCCCGGACTTGGAGGCGTTGAACCGTGGCGACGAGACGCCGCTGCTGGGACTCTCCTGGCCCAGCGACCTGAGACGATTCCGGAGCCCACTGTTTCCCCTACAGGCGCGGCGAGAGGCGCGGCGCGAGGCGCGAGTTCTGAGAGCAGAGACGCCGCTCTCCGTGGTGTCGGAGTCGCCCATCGCCTCACCGACCCCGGCCCTGGCCCTGCCGCCGCCGCTCGCTCCACTCCGCGCGTCCATGCCGGCGCCGGCGCTGCCGCCCAGCCGGCGCCGGCTGCCCAGGGTCTTGCAGGGCTCGGAGCTTTCGCTCTCCTTGGGCTCGCCTGTGCCGGTTCCGAGCCCGAGCCTCCTCAGCGTGCCTTCCGAGACCGATGCTGGGTTCTGGAGTACCATACTTTAACACATTTTTGGTATCGGTTCCCTAAATCTTTGATCTTATTTCGGTATCTGTTCCTTAAACAACCAGTGTGAAATCGAAGTTTATACGTTTTTCCGCCTTGCTTTATGTTTTTCTCTCTCCTTGGGAACCTTTGTTAAGTAGAAGTTGATACCCAATTTTTCTCCTTGGGAACCATTATGATACAGAAGTTGATACTCATTGTTCTCCTTGGCATCTGTTTCTTAACCATCGTGAAATCAGAAGTTTATACATTTCTTTCTCCTTGCTTCATGTGTTTTTTCTCTCCTTGGTTTCCTTGGGAGCCATTATGACATAGAAGTTGCTACTCCTTGTTCTCCTTGGTTAGGGTTTACAATTGTGAAATCAGAAGTTTAGGGAGCCATTATGATATAGAAGTTGATACTCCTTGTTCTCCTCGGTTAGGGTTTACAGTTGTGAAATCAGAAGTTTAGGGAGCCATTATGATGTAGAAGTTGATACTCCTTGTTCTCTTTGGTTAGGGTTTACAATTGTGAAATCAGAAGTTTAGGGAGCCATTATGATATAGAAGTTGATACTCCTTGTTCTCCTTGGTTAGGGTTTACAATTGTGAAATCAGAAGTTTAGGGAGCCATTATGACATAGAAGTTGCTACTCCTTGTTCTTCTTGGTTAGGGTTTACAATTGTGAAATCAGAAGTTTAGGGAGCCATTATGATCTAGAAGTTGCTACTCCTTGTTCTCCTTGGTTAGGGTTTACAATTGTGAAATCAGAAGTTTAGGGAGCCATTATGACATAGAAGTTGCTACTCCTTGTTCTCCTCGCAATTGTGAAATCAGAAGTTTAGGGAGCCATCAAAAAAAAGAAGTTGCTACTCCTTGTTCTCCTTGGTTAGGGTTTACAATTGTGAAATCAGAAGTTTAGGGAGCCATTATGATATAGAAGTTGATACTCCTTGTTCTCCTTGGTTAGGGTTTACAATTGTGAAATCAGAAGTTTAGGGAGCCATTATGATATAGAAGTTGATACTCCTTGTTCTCCTTGGTTAGGGTTTACAATTGTGAAATCAGAAGTTTAGGGAGCCATTATGACATAGAAGTTGCTACTCCTTGTTCTCCTTGGTTAGGGTTTACAATTGTGAAATCAGAGGTTTAGGGAGCCGTTATGATGTAGAAGTTGCTACTCCTTGTTCTCCTTGGTTAGGGTTTACAATTGTGAAATCAGAGGTTTAGGGAGCCGTTATGATGTAGAAGTTGCTACTCCTTGTTCTCCTTGGTTAGGGTTTACAATTGTGAAATCAGAAGTTTAGGGAGCCATTATGATATAGAAGTTGATACTCCTTGTTCTCCTTGGTTAGGGTTTACAGCTGTGAAATCAGAAGTTTAGGGAGCCATTATGATATAGAAGTTGATACTCCTTGTTCTCCTTGGTTAGGGTTTACAATTGTGAAATGAGAAGTTTAGGGAGCCATTATGATATAGAAGTTGATACTCCTTGTTCTCCTTGGTTAGGGTTTACAATTGTGAAATCAGAAGTTTAGGGAGCCATTATGATATAGAAGTTGATACTCCTTGTGTTCCTTGGTTAGGGCCGGTTAGGGTTTACAACTGTGAAATCAGAAGTTTAGGGAGCCATTATGATATAGAAGTTGATACTCCTTGTTCTCCTTGGTTAGGGTTTACAATTGTGAAATCAGAAGTTTAGGGAGCCATCAAAAAAAAGAAGTTGCTACTCCTTGTTCTCCTTGGTTAGGGTTTACAATTGTGAAATCAGAAGTTTAGGGAGCCATTCTGATATAGAAGTTGATACTCCTTGTTCTCCTTGGTTAGGGTTTACAACTGTGAAATCAGAAGTTTAGGGAGCCATTATGATATAGAAGTTGATACTCCTTGTTCTCCTTGGTTAGGGTTTACAATTGTGAAATCAGAAGTTTAGGGAGCCATTAAAAAAAAGAAGTTGCTACTCCTTGTTCTCCTTGGTTAGGGTTTACAATTGTGAAATCAGAAGTTTAGGGAGCCATTCTGATATAGAAGTTGATACTCCTTGTTCTCCTTGGTTAGGGTTTACAATGTGAAATCAGAAGTTTAGGGAGCCATTATGATATAGAAGTTGATACTCCTTGTTCTCCTTGGTTAGGGTTTACAATTGTGAAATCAGAAGTTTAGGGAGCCATTATGATATAGAAGTTGATACTCCTTGTTCTCCTTGGTTAGGGTTTACAATTGTGAAATCAGAAGTTTAGGGAGCCATTATGATATAGAAGTTGATACTCCTTGTTCTCCTTGGTTAGGGTTTACAATTGTGAAATCAGAAGTTTAGGGAGCCATTATGATATAGAAGTTGATACTCCTTGTTCTCCTTGGTTAGGGTTTACAATTGTGAAATCAGAAGTTTAGGGAGCCATTATGATATAGAAGTTGATACTCCTTGTTCTCCTTGGTTAGGGTTTACAATTGTGAAATCAGAAGTTTAGGGAGCCATTATGATATAGAAGTTGATACTCCTTGTTCTCCTCGGTTAGGGTTTACAGTTGTGAAATCAGAAGTTTAGGGAGCCATTATGATGTAGAAGTTGATACTCCTTGTTCTCTTTGGTTAGGGTTTACAATTGTGAAATCAGAAGTTTAGGGAGCCATTATGATATAGAAGTTGATACTCGTTGTTCTCCTTGGTTAGGGTTTACAATTGTGAAATCAGAAGTTTAGGGAGCCATTATGATATAGAAGTTGATACTCCTTGTTCTCCTTGGTTAGGGTTTACAATTGTGAAATCAGAAGTTTAGGGAGCCATTATGATATAGAAGTTGATACTCCTTGTTCTCCTTGGTTAGGGTTTACAACTGTGAAACCAGAAGTTTATGCATTTCTTTCTCCTTGCTATATGTGCTTTTTCTCTACTTGATTTTGTTGGGAGCCATTATGATATGGAAGTTGATACTCCTTGTTCTCTTTGGTTACTTCAAAGCCCAGGATGTGCTCTCACCCACGGCACAGCCATCGAGGCTTCTGGTCGGCGAGGGCACACCCTTGGAGATGACGTTGCTGGGTTCTTCTTGAGGAACTTCTTATAATATATAGTATGTAATATATTGTGCATATACTATACCATGTACATGTGTGTGTATATATATATATATATAGATATGTATTTCATGTAGGGATCTTGTTGAGGAACGTATTGTAGGTTTCTGCGTAATACCCATTTGCAATTTTTCTTGTTGGGTTCCGTTTCCGAAAGAGATCCAGTAGGAATAAGGGTACCCCTGTTTTAATGGCGCTGCTCAGGAACCAAGCTATAACTGTAGGTGTGACGCGACTGCCTATTGCGAATGACACGCTTTCCTTGCATTATGGTAGTTTATTATAAATGAAATTCCCTCCTGGACATTTCAATAGAACCCTAGAAACCGTATCGAGCACAATGCAACTCGTATATAAGTTTTCCAGGTATCGCAGTTCCTTGTATGCAAGCAACTTCACAACGACCTTCGAATCTAGGACCTTAGACTTTCAAATTTGTTTTCTCCACTACCGCACTTTTTACAGCAACGCTAATCCCTAATCCAAAGCCCTAAACCTTCAACATTAAACGGCAAAACTCTAGACTGCAAGCCCGAAAACCTTAAACCCTACGGCCCTAAAGTTGTCAACAAGAGCCTAGGCTGGATCTCAACCGGCTCATTCCCTGGACGCCGGCGGTGCCTGGGTTCTTGTTTGTTGGAACTAAGTTGAAGTTGCCCACAGAAAGGATCTGTAGTACGTGGTAGGATTTCCAACATGCAAGTCTCCATAATACGGAAACCAGATTATGTACTGCAGATCCCTATTATGGTAGCTCCTTAGAGTACATGATCTGGCTCCCGTACTCTGAGAACCCAAATTCTTTCCCAAATGGTAAACCCCTTTAGAACCCTCATAGATCCCTTTAAAGGAACCCCTTTAAGGAAGTCAAGAGCCGAGGATGCCAAGCAGCCCTCCACGCCGGGGCCCTCTGAGATGGGCTCTCAGGGCTCCTCCGACGAGGAGGACTGGGGTTCTTAAGTTACCATCATAGGGTTGAGGGTTCAGTGTTTGGGGTTTAGGGGTTGGGGTTTAGGGTTCAGGGTTTAGGGTTTAGGGTTTGGGGTTTAGGGTTCGGGGTCTAGGGTTTAGGGTTCAGGGTTGGGGTTCAGGGTTTAGGGTTTGGGGTTTAGGGTTTAGGGCTTAGGGTTTAGGGAAGGATCTAGCTTGAGTTACAATAGTAGGGGTTCCTTCAAGGGATCTCTACAAGGGTTTCTTTAAGGGTGGAGGGCTTGCAGAGGAGGAGAGTGGTTAGAGTTTAGGATCTAGGGTTAACGGTTAGGAGAGGGAGGAGGGACGGTTTTAGGGTTTAGGATTGGTTTAGGGTTCAGGGTTCGCGGGGTTTAGGGACTCATGTAGGGATGCTTCGAGTTCAGAGTTGAGGGTTTAGGGGTTAGTTTGGGGTTTAGGGTTTAGGGTTAGTTTAGGCTTAGTTTGGGGTTTAGGGTTTAGGGTTAGTTTAGGCTTATAGTTTAGGGTTCGGGGTTTAGGGTTTGAGGCTTAGGGTAGAGGGTTTTAGGGTTAGAGTGGGCTTTACGGTTCAGGGTAGTTTGAGAGGGGGAAATAGTGTTCAGGTTTAGATTTGGGTTTGCGGGAGAGGGAGAGGGGTTAAGAGTTTGGGTCTGGGTCCTACACTTGGATTTAGGGTCTTAGGGCATCCAAAGGATCGCATGTCTGCAGCACTGCATCCCCCCTGACCCGCAGGATACCGTGGAGCAAACCAGCGGCGATGTGACTTGTGCCACCTAAAACCGTGGAGCGCACGAAAACTTCTGTCTTTGTAAGCCAAAGACTAGAAAGCAGCTCTGAGTCGTGTTGAAGCCTGGTCAAGATGTTCATGGACGCTAGTGACCGCTAATTAGTGATTCGGAGGGTTCTTAGCCAGGTTTCTGTAGCATTATAAAGGACGCATGTCTGCCATGCCGAACCATCATGAGACATAAAATTTTCTTTGCCATCCCTAAAGAAGCATAGCAGAACACTGCACAAAGTGTCACGCTAATTCTTCCTGCCCCTACTCTTTGCTATGCTGAAACCCCAGAGTCGCGCAACCCGAAAACCCCAAGCCCTACAATGCACCGCCAAGCATTGCAGAAGCCTTCACCGCGTTTAACAGCCTGAAGGAATCCTCGCAAACCCGATAACTTGCGTAGCAACCGTCTTGGGTCATTGCTATTATGCAACGCTGTAGCAACTTAGTAAGCTGCTCGCGAGGCTTCTGATACGCCTAAATATGAAACCGCACAACTTAGGCCCCAAATCCTTTGCCCTGTGGTTCAATCTCCCGAAACCCCAAACCCAGAGAGCCCAATACCCCTTGATTAAGGAATCTAATACACCTTAAATTATAAGGGGCTTCATGTGGTATTCCTTAATTAAGGTGTATTTGATCCTTCTAACATGCCGCGGAGGACCGAAAGAAACTCAGGGTTTACGGTTTAGGGCTTCGGGGCTTAGGGGTTTGGGTTTAGGGTTTAGGTTTTTCAGAAAACCTCAGCTTGTAAACTGTCCTTCGCAGGCGGAAGCTCTGCGACGCCCTAAGCCCTGCGCCCCAAACCCCTAAGGCCTTTCCTTTGCAACAGCCCAAAAGCTGGTAGAACCGTGACAGCAGCAGACACTCACCAACATAGCAAAGGGTTTCGGTTTAGGGTTTCGGGCTGTGGCTTCAGCGTCCTAAACTCCTAGAGCCCTTAGCAATTCCAAAGTAAAAAAAAGCTCTGGAAGCAGGAAATCCGGAAAGCTGCATCTTCGCGGTATGTGTTCCATCTTGCGCGGTCGTAAAGCCCTGACACGTATGAAAACTGTCAGCCAAGGCCCGCAAAGCACCCAAACCCAAATCCCACACAAGAAAGACCAGCGAAAAGCAACGCCCCAAATCCCTACTCGAGGTTTCTTCTTTCTCTTCGACTCCCACCCCAACCTCTCCGAACTGAATCCCCAACATCCAACCCTCAACCCTAAACCCTAAACCTTAAACCCCCTAACTTTAAAAGAAAAAACCCTAGGCCCTAAACCCTAAAACCCTAAACCCTAAATCCTAAATCCAAAACCCTAAACCCTAAAGCCTAAACCCTAAACCCTAAACCCTAAAGTCTAAACCCAGGTGATCCCTACCTTCCAGCAGTGGCGGAGCGCCCGACTGGCGCCCCAAATTCGGAAGAAGCGCAGAACGCCGGTGATCCTCCTAAGCTGACGCCAAGGGTTTTAGGGTGGCTCGTTCGTGGTTCGAAGGGTGCGAACCACAAAACCATGAGAGCCTAAACCCTCAATCCTAGATTTACAGGGCCACGTCTCCTTCCCAAGAAGCCCCCACAGCCGACACGGCTGCGAAATCGGATCACCTCGGTGAAGAGCGCCGGGAAAAAGCGAACACTGAGGGCTCCAATCGTTTGAGCCAATATCACTTAGGGCTTTGGGGTCCGGGTTTGAGGTTTAGGGTTTTCAGGACTTTGAGAAAGCCCAAGGTTAAGGGCTTGAGGACGAAACGGTCACAGAAGCAACAAAGCCGAAGTCCATCCATGGATGGCCAGGTATCCACCACCCTAAACCCTCGATCCTAAAACCGGAACGCTAAACCCTAAAACTCATATCAGAGATCCCAAAACCTTCCTAAGTATATACAGCCCTGACCCCCAAGCGAGCTCATGCTTTAAAGCAGCTTGTTCCGGGTAAAGTCTGCTTTAACTATTTCCATGAACCCGCATGAACCTTATTCGGATCATTGAGCCTGCTTACTTAGATCCCCTGATCAATGCAAACCTTCTTGAAAGGCGTTGACGTTCGGATCCCTGCTTCCATCCCTTTGCAGGGAATGTTGTTCTGTGCATTTGTTAGAGGTTTAGAGTGGCATCTTCCCTCTTGCAGCCCTCATTACCAACCCTAAGCCCTAAACCGCAACCCTCAGTCGTAAAGGAGTCCTTTACTTGAACGGGGCTACTGTGGAAACTGGTCTAGGGTCTTAGATATGTGAGGTCCTGCACTCTGAAGCACCGAATTATCCCCCCAACCTGGCCAAGCATCCTCAAAACACTTCAAGACTTTATGGAACTTCTCATGGAGCTCTATAGGGCTTTATAGAAGCCCTCTAAACCTTGAGATCCCAGCCAGTAGAACCTTAAACAAAGCAATACCGAGGCTCTGCGCAGCTCACGGCCCCAAGTGGGTACGAGCCTCGTGCAACGTCGGTTCTTACTCGGTTTGGGTTGGGTTTTAGGGTGTAGGGTTTGGCGATTAGAGTCTGGGGCTTAGGGAAAGGGAGGTTGTGTGTCGAATAGAGGCTTGAACAATTACGAATATTTCCTTTCGGGCTCCTAATGTGTTTGTAGTCAACTACCCCATGCCCGAGACCCTATGTAAACCAAAAGCCCTAGGCCCTAGACCCCCCAAATCCATTTTCTCATTATTCAGGCCCGGCCATTATCGGAAGGTGCATGGAGCATGCATGGAGATATAGTTTAGGCCATTACAAGAAGGCAACCCCGTTATTTACCATAGACTGTAGATCCCTGCTATGGTAACGTAAGCCAAGTGCGGTTTGAAGATCCCAGTTTAGGGTCTTTGGGGCGCAACATGCTGGTGGGAGGCGACACCCCGCAAGACTCAGATGGCAGACGCAGCGACCGTGTGTCGAGATAGACGTGCCGACGAGCGGTTGCAAGATTGGGCATTCATTTTGCACGTTGTCCTTCCAGCATCGCAAAGATTGGCGAAGAGGGAAGGACTGCGACTTGAAGCCAGGCGTGTCGGATCTAGTTCCTCAGCAAGCACCTATTTAATAATAGCCAGATCCTCCCAAAGCCTACTCGCCCGGACCGGCAGAACCGACAACTCTTGAGTTGTGGGCTTGGCTACCGCTCTTTGGCAGCCCCAGTGATCTTGTCATGGGGTCGATCTTCTGGTTTATGGCATTGGGCTTAGGAGTAGAGGGGCAACGTTTAAATGCTTTCGGTACTATAATTCCTATATACTCCCGAATGTGGGCCTTGGGCGTCTAGTACAGGGGCCTTAATAAAGCCTTAATGAATAAGCAGGGTTTTGGGCTCCTTTCTAGCTATACTGAGGAACCCCAAGAATGAATATTGGTAGTTGTTCGGGCTTTGACATTATAGAAACCCTTCTAGTACCCATTGTAGTAACCCTTGTAGTGACCATTATTGAAGGTGGGGTACTACTTGTAGTGCTGCCTAACTCAGAATCTCTTGGGACCATGTTTTTGGGTTCTCGTTAAGGAACTCAAGCTTTCGAAGTAGGGATGGATCCTAACACCTAAGCACTGCACCCTAAACCCCAAATCCCTTAAAAGGAGCGCGGATTATGGCCTGCTAGGACTGAGGGTTTGAGGTTGAGGGGTTTGGGGCTTACGACATCTGATGTCACAAGAACCAAAGCCCTCACGCCCTCCAACATCCTGAACGGAAGCCCTAAACTACGAACCCTACACCCTAGTCTGGGAAAAAGGAGCTTTAAAACAAAAGAACCCTAAACCCTAAAAGGCGCTCAACACAAAAAGAACCTCTCACTTCGGGACGGGATCATCAAGAGGCCTCCTCGCCATCAAGCTTGGCCTTCAACGGTGGACCCAAAGCCCTCAGCCCTCCAGCCAGAACCACCAAAACCCTTTACTCCACACCTGAGCCTTCTGCAAAAAACTCTATACCTCCCCAGAGAGCCCAAGACCACTTAATCAAGGAATATATATTAAATCATAATATGAACCCACTTATAACTTAAGGTATATTCCTGAATTAAGGGGTATTGGGCTCTCTGGGTCACCAATCCCTCAACCCGAATCTCTTTCGTCTCCTTTTTCCCGAGGCCGGCTCAGCAAGAACTCCTCCGCGAAACGCTCCGCCGTGCGGGCACAGCTCCGGGGGAGATCGTCCGGGGCTCTGTAATATAGGGGCCTTAATAATTCGAACAGGGCTCCTTGAAAGGGGGACTATGGGGCCTACTATAAGGAATCTAAAAGGGTACGATAATATAGGGCCCTTATAATCAGGAACCCCCCAAAATAGTACCGATATGTTTAGGCCCCTCTTGTGAAGACGGGGGGAAGCGGTTTAGAGTCGGGATTAAGGGTTGTTCAAGCTACACCTGCAAGCACCGTTGTTGAAGAATGCCGTTGCGGTGCTTTTTCTGAACACACATGTCTGGTTGCGATGCATCACTCTCAAGTTCAAAGGGCATTGACGCGACCGCAGACAGCACTGATCGTGTTCATCTTGAAGCTATGCACGCCCACAGCAAACCCCAGCTGCCGGACGAGACCACGGCGCCTATGTGGGTCGTCCACGTGAAACTTGGTCAACAGTCGAAATCCTCTACGTGTTTTTCGCATTGTGCTTTTTTGTCATAATGTCTCGAAAGGAGAATCCCTGAGCCCTGAACCCTACATCGGAACCCCGAAGAGGCTCCTCTTAGACTCTTAGCTTTCGCTAGAGTCGCGGGGACCCAGGAGAGATTTGCTCAAAATGCGGGGGAGGCCTGAACCTCATCAGGCGTTGAAGACGGCTGGGCCCCACAAAAACACTCAAAAACCCTTGCACCAAGCCCTGTAGCCCTTGAGAAGCCCTCGAAAAGCCGGTCTCCCCACACCCAGGCCGCCTCAGAGTGCCAGGTGCCTTGGCATCGGAGATTTGAGGGTTCTGCAAGGTTTTTGTACGGTTTAACAGGGGGAAAGTGTGTGGCTTGTGCGAGGGTTTTTATGTTTTTATTCGAGAGGGTTTCCTAGGCTTCTTTTTGAAGTCACATAGTGAGTCTTCGATCTTGCAGGGTTTTGATGTTTACAGCTCCCAATTTGGTTTGTAGTGTTTCGGTGTACCAGTGTTCTTGCCTGCACAGTGATGCAGGGTTTTTCGAGGGTTGTAGAGGGCTTCACTTGAGCGTTTCAGGGCCTCTTGGGCAAGAGACCTAGTTCCTGATCGGGTTGGCGGTTTAGGGTTTAGGGCTGGTTCCTTTCGGGTACCCTGAGTATTCGGTCCCGTATTCGTAAGAAGGATCCAAAAATGGACCATAATTATGGGCATTGAAAGGAATAACTACTAGACTCATACTATTCCTTGGGGTTCCTGGTTATCATGGTACGTTTAATTTTGTCCGAAACCGATCAAGGCCCCTAGGTTACAGTTGCAGAGATCGCTGGCAGCAGGGTTGTGACCAAGAGGCCGTCGCAAAGGTTTGGTTTTGGGAAAGCGCTGACAGTTATGCCTTCACCTGTAGCTGCCTCACCTAGAGCGGTGATAACCCGAAAACAGGAGTATGCTATGCTTTGTGCTGCATATAGGGCTGGGGCAACTGTACGTGATGTAAAGTCTTCTATAGGTGATGTGGAATCTACTCTTCAACGAGCCGTCCGACACCCCAATCGCCAGAATAGACATCCGAGACTTCCAAACTCAACGGTACGTGCAGAAGCCCAGAATGGCTGACTGAGGGGGATAATATGGGGGCTCAAATAATTACCAATACTATTTCGGAGGTTCATTATTATAACAAATATAGTACAATGGACACCAAAACCCTGTTCTAATGATGAAGGCCCCTATATTTCAATGAGGGTTTACCGTGTCGGACCATCACCTTTGAACCCTTGTGACATAGATCGCAGAGTCTCTAATCTCGTGTGTGTGTCTGTGTGTGTGTGTGTTTGTTGAAACTCAAAGGCTAACCAGCGCTTTAACCTATTCCCTATACCCCACCCACTAGCCACAGGGAAAAGGCCTTCACAACAAGACTTTTACAAGGAAGTCCGAAAGGATCCAATGTTTCCCGCCGTGCCAGGCGAACGGCTCTCAGCTTGGAGATCCCATCGAGCCGGGCGCCCTTTTTCGTCGGAATTTTGAGCTTTTGGGTTTATGATTTTTGGGCTCGGTTTGGAAATTTCGGAGCCTAGGGTTCAGTTTAGAAAGGTTGGTCTTTTGGGGCGCAGGAGTTCGGGTTTAGTTTGGAATTTGGGGTTTAGTTCAGGTTTTTGCCACTGGTTCAGTTTACGCTGTAGGGTTTCCAGCGATTCATAAATGCAGGTTTGAGAAGGTTGTTATAGTTCTTTAAACATATCCTGGTGTTTTTATACGATGTATACCTCAAGTCGGATGAGGGAGATCTTGAATATGAGTTCAGGTAGATTGGCAAAGCCGAAACCCGTTGCAAACACTAAACCGTAAGCCCTAATCCATTCGTTGAAAGGTTAAGTCT